ATTTTAAATGTTAATTATTGTAATATTTTAATATTTAATAAGAATTATTGTGATTAGACGGACAAGATTTAATATATACTTATTATATCACAATATGACGCAACTTTACCATCTTATGTGTGACCAAGTTAACGCATTCAAATGTAAGCTAGTTCTTTGGGAAAAGCAGTTGAAAAATGAAGATTTAACGCACTTTCCGACATGCAACATGAACAAATCAAGTCTAGGTGAAACTGCATCGTATCAAAAATACGCAAGAAAAAATTTTAAGCCTTAGAACTGAATTTGAAACAAGGTTTGCAGATTTTAAATTTTTGGAAGACAAGTTTTCTTCGATTTTTTTCAATAAATATAGAATCAGTACCTAATCAAATGCAAATGGAGGTAATTGAGATCCAGTGCGATTCTGATTTGAAGGCAAAATTCAGTGAAGTTGGCGTGCCTGGATTTTACAAATATTTACCTGCCAGGTTTGAAAACACTCGAAAAATTTGCATATGAAATTATTTCCATGTTTGGAAGTACTTATCGGTGTCAGCATTTATTTACAATTATGAAAGGAAATAAGTCTCCTGTCAGATCCAGAATTACTGACAAGAGATGCCAAGTTTCAGGAAGAAAACATTAATTTTATCGTTGTTCTTATTCTTTTTTATATACTATACTTTTCAAAATAAACCTACGTTTCTATGAAAATTAAAGTTTTCTTTTGAGGCCCACACAAACTTAAACCTTGTTTATTCGGCCCGTGTTGTCTGTAAGATACTGACCGACGTTTCAGAGGAGCTTAATGCTTCCATCATAAGTGCGATGATAAAACATAGATCAATATCTACGAGACTACACGGTGAAACATCCCAGAAGACAAGTCATTTTCAACTGAATGACAATTTAGATGCACGCCGACATATAAACCGGATTCATGTCAAAATAAAATCACGACATTACGAGGTTCGTTGTACTGTAAGTCACAAACCGAATTCAATGAAACTTTAAATCAGAAATTTCGGTACAAACATTTGCTATGGAAACTCTACAGGCCTCCAAGCAAACGAAACCGAACCGACACGAACAAAGACAACTTTAACAATTAATTTTTATTAATTTAAGATACAGGCTGCATACAGTCGACTGGGATGATGATTATGAATAATGAAATTGGAAAGATTTGAAATATATTTTAAGCTCTACTTCTCGACTCGTCTGGAACGAATGAAAAAAACAAAACAACTAATTTTCCATTTAAACTGTGTCCGAACGTGTAACTAATAAGCCAATGACATTTAATAACTGTTCGCATGATATCTGATTTTTTTTTAGATTCCAACAAAAAACAAATATGTTGAAATTCTTCGAACTGCAAGTTTAAAACGAATCTGTCACATTTCTCGGCTTCAAAGTCTACTCTGCTGCATCTTGGTTGCCCCACATAGTTGTTGCTGATGACTTGCCTTGCATAACAATTTGTACTAAACGTCCACTGGACCTCAGCATTATCTAAGATACACAACTGTGTTTGGGATGAAAACAGATTTCCAGACAGATGCTATGCCAATGTTGCCTTCCTACTTGGTTTACAATCTCAAGCAACAAAGGAACTTAATCTTGTAAAAAATACATCACACAACCCTCCCATCTGAACATCCTCACAAGGGTTGAAGAACCAGCTGACCAAGACTTCTATTATAATTATAAAAAAAATGCCATTATGCCCACACAGAGCCATGGAAATCTACATCGAAGATGAAACCCTTTATTACTTTCAAAATTCTTATTGTTTTTAGCCAACAAACACTTCGTATGGACTGTTCAGAGACTAACATCTCTTGGAAACGAGATCTTGTGATGACAGATCAATCCACATCACACCCTTCCAATCAGGGCTCCAAAAAAAAAAATTCCAACTCAGAAGCTTCTAGCCAATTCAAAAAATTCACTCGTCCACAGAGTTTCATGTAAATATTTTATATCCACGATGGTCTCCGACTGACCAGTGATGAGACCATTTCTAGAATCCTGCTCCCAAACGAGTAACCACAGATCCAATTTCTTTTTTCATCACACTTTGTCTTTAATGCAGCCTTTTACTTATATGTCGCTGTGTTTCAGCCCTTCCTACTTATATGTCGTTGTGTTTCAGCCCTTCCTAATTTAATTTATTAATATACGACCTCATTACAGTAAGTTTCCTTGAATATTCAAAGCGAAATCTGGAATGATGAAGGTTGTTTATTTCCCTTTCACAAAACCAACGAACAGAGTCTAGTTCTCGTCCTCTTATAACCCACGTCTCATTTCCTCAGCGAAAAAAAATATGTATTTGTTTACTGTCAGACCGGAGGACATGCAACTTTTATCCCACAGAAACGAAGAAGAGAGACTTGGAGGGAAAAGGCAGGAAGTGGCGACCTGTGTGAGAGGGCGCTTCAGACCAGGGGTTACGGTCAGCCAGAGTAATAAAACCTGTTCAACGCTTCTTTGTGTGGGTACGCTTTCTCTAACCCCCCTCGATAATGAATTCCATTAGTTCCTACTGTATTCTAAAGACCTACGTAAATATTTTAATAATTCATCTACAGCACATTGTTGATCATGAACTGCTAGGAATAATCGTAATTATATATTTATCCTGCTCTCAACATTACATTTGCCACATCAAAGCTGTGTGATAATTAAACCACCTGTCATCTAATATTTTAGAACGAACGTATTTCATTTTACTTTAAGAATAAATAATGCAGTTCGTTTTAATCGCATGCAGTGTACTTTCTTGAAAGTAGGGACAGATTTTTAAACTTCTCTAATGACTATAATATACATTACTACATACATTAATGACTGTTGAAATTGCTACAGAAACAACAGATTGTAAACATTTTAATTAGTAAAGGATGGAAGTCTTGCTTAAATCAGTCAGTTACAAAAAAAAAAAAAAATCTACATCATACCGGCAAATAATGAGACGGGGGGGAAATTGGTGTCAATGCTAAAGAGGTTTATATTAAATATGTAACTGAAATATCGGAAAATGACAGACATGATTTTAAAAAAATCGCAAAAATATGGCATTTTTTTTACTCCGAGTTTTAAAAACTTATAGTACCTGCAGGTATTAAACAGAGCAGCAACTGTGTATTACAGTTAAGGATGTGCTGTAATTTTACTTTCGATGGAAACCACTTTCCATACGCCTACCTCAACGCCACTCTTCCTTTCGCACAAAACTAGAATGACCCACTAACACGGTGAAATGCAGGGTTAAATAAGCCTTATGTCACAGCCACGCAGAATTATCTGCCGTGGGGCTCGATCAAAGCGTTGTAACGTTCGTTTGCAGCATGCACCTGTTAAAATGAACTGATCTCTGCGGCGCGTGTGTGAAAAATATAATATACCTGTGTTGGAACTCCACGTGCAAGAAGCATCCAAGTACTGAAATGAACCATTTTTCACAGGACTATGCCGTTATGGTTAAACACGTCCTATTTGTGAAATCAATGAATGAAGTTCTTATTCAATGTGTGTTTGCAGATAAACAAAGATTTCATGCTAAACCTACTGCATTTCGGTGAGCAGGGTACACACTTACAGTGACATGCTAATATCAATACTCATGTCTGTATTTATGTGGGCTTGGAGACATTACCTGCAGAACTAGCCGAATATGACACTTGTAGCTCGGTTGAATTGTGGTCTGTAGCCGTGGGTTGAGTGGTGGTAGCGGCAACAGAGCTGGGAACGCTCACAGGCCTACTCGTAGCCTCCTCATGCATGTTTTGGCCAGTAATCCCTCTATGTTGAATCAAATTCCGGAGCCCCAGAGCTTCAAAAAGCCCTGAACGTTTTCTCTGTGTCAAGGTTTCACTAAAATCTTCTTCGTTACGTGATATTTAAAAAAATCAACGGAGGATAAATGTAGGTCTGTAGGACACTTCACTTACACTTTGCATTCAGACATGACTCGAGTCAAGTTAGTGACGATGTCAGAGGTTTATAATGTAGATACGTATGAACTTCACATACTATAATTGCCTTATTTTGTTAAATATGTTTTGTAACACAAAGACAAGTAACCTGTCATTTACAGACGCCAATAAAAATTTGGGTAACAAGATCTTCTGTGTTGCACAAATGCTTTGAATTGATTTGAAATGCAGTCCTTACCCCTTTCATTACTAAAACTAGGTCATACAGGATAATTGTGTAATTCCTCAAAACATACACATTGTAAATGCTTGTAATTCTGCTTTTTATGAAATAAAATTTCTTTGTGATTCTGTCCATTTTTATCGTAGACTTGGATCTGAAATTATATTAAAGTAGCTATTGGTATGACTAATAAAGTGCCGTTCTGTTTTGACGTACTATTGCCATCTAGTGTGAAATACGAGAATTATGTACACACATCACAATACACGATCTTTCAATGCGACTACTTTGGCTCATCTGAGTACCAAGTTTCCATAGATGAACCAGTTTTCTTCTGTGACCAAGCTTTTTCTATCACAAGTGGCATCTAATATGGTTACCATGGGACTTACTTTACATCATTAAGTATATGGGTGCTTTCGTTACCGTGTTTTATCCAGCCTCACTCAACAGTATTAGGAAACATTGTTTCTCATCAGTCTGAGCTCTTAAATGAACATTGGAAATAAAACAAATTCTAAATGTATCCTAACCTAAATACTTTTGTTTTCTCTGGTTTAAGAACTTATCACATTATAGCATCTTATTGTATTAGACTCTTCAAGAACACAAACTTTTCCATTACATAACAACGAACTGGTTTATTAAATAGTGGACTTTGTCAAAATGGAATTTACCACTTCCACTAATACATGTAGACACTGCCTAATTTAACAGGGGAATGTTTCCAGGTACGTTAGAAGTCAACAACATTAAACAGCTCTTCAGGCCCAGAGATTGTTCAGGTGACAACTCTTTTACCTAGTTTGTGAAAAGTATTAAAGGGAGCTATGATGGAGGGACAATAAATGCAATACAATTTTGGTGGGAAAACATCTGAAAAGCAGCCAATTGAAAGACTAAGACAGAGATAGGGCAGCATTAAGATGAACCTTAGATAAATGGATTGAAAGGATGGGATGCAGACAGAACTATCTCAGGATCACCTCCAGTGGCAGGGTCTGGTATTAGGGTATTAAACTCTTGGGTTCTGAGAACTAAGCTTACAGAGAGATGCATATGCTGCTTTCACCAAGATTACTTAATTCATTCACTGTGAAGGAATAAACAAATTTAAGAATTTGAATACTGCCGATTATCAAGATTTTTCACCATTTCTTTCCACAATGTCAAATATATATACATCTTGCAGTTATTAAACCTGAACAGCAAATAGCTGTAGTTATTTATTGGTTTACAATCTAAAATTAATGAAGACATCCATCATGGCCCTGATGATGGTGAGATGTCTGTGAATTTCTACCCGACTACCTACATACCATAACATCCCATAAGAGTTATCTTTATACTTGTCACGGTAAGACCTGAAATCTCATTTAAAATTCTTGGCAAATCAAATCCTTAATTTGGTGAACAATGGACACTGCACTATTTCCTACAGTAGCTTTTCTCCCTTATGACACCATTCAAGGTCATAGGACCTTAGTTTTCACTAGTTTACACATCCCTAATTTAAAGTGAAGGGCTGCAACTTGTGTTTCATTATCAGTCTCACTTCTCTGAAGTTCAAACATGTAATATAAATTTTCAGATATTCTTGATATAAATAAAACTAAAATCTTCCATTGGCAACAATGCAGGTCATCGGAGCCATAATTCTACACCTTCCTTGCTACATATGAGACCAAGTGGTTACAAAATACCTTAGCAGTGACCTACCTGGCAATAACCACAAACTTGCAATCAGACCACTTACCCATTATTAACATATGAACCCTCCATTTGCATTGAAAATGTTCATCATCTTCCTCATTTGCTCAGCAGAAAATTTTATACATTGGAGCCTTCAGATCTGCAGGGTAGAGGCATGATTATCATGCAGGCTGTAATACATGTATCTCTGATGAAGAAAGACATTTATGTCAAATGATTTCAAGACTTTAATAAAAATTGCTTATTGCTGATAAAAACAATTTCTTTTAGGTATTTTGATCAGATGCTCAATATGACAATCACTGACTTATTCAGAATTACGAGCATGTAGTCGTGACATGCCAATATTATAGATTAACACACTCACATGCAGGAAAATTTGTACCTGTCTAAATTAGCCAGTCGTATCCTGCAGTGCATTTTCTTTAATGCAGTCTATCAGTAGGTATAACTTTCTTAAAAAAATTTAAGCTCATTTTAAAATGTGTCTAGCAGTGTTTCAGAGATTCAATGTGACACAGTAATTTATTTAAATAAACCTGCTGAGTAATGTGAAGAAACTTCTGTGAACTTAAATTTATCCTCACTTTAATTACTGTTCTTCTTCTTCTTCTTCTTTTCTTTCCCTAAAATACTTAAATGTCAGTTTTTTGCACAGTTACTAGCCAGTTGCTTTCATATATACAAGCACAGGCAGCATGGTCATCTCATAAGCCTATTACCATACAACAGGACATGGTAGATACACAGGCAGAATGTGTACAGTAGTATCCATGCCAGACTTTCTCTTTTTTTTTTTTAGATTATCACAGAAATCAAATTTATCTTTGGACAGATCAAAGAACACACAAAAAAATTAAAACAGAAGTACCTAATTGAACAAGCTTTTAGCTGAAGTTCCAAGTTGTCTAACTTGAATTTGTCTTCATGTGGTAAACTTTACAAAAGAGATGAGTGATCATCTCAGACGAGCTGTCCTTCCTCTTCAAACACATCTTGCCTTATCGTGTTACGATAGTACAAAGTACCAATATGAACATTTAAGCTTTCTGTTTAGCTGTTTCAAGGAGCTCTCTGGAGATAATATGTCGCTGTATCTGAGCCGTGCCTTCGTAAATCTGAAAAATTTTGGCATCACGAAACAGTTTTTCTACAGGATATTCAGTGTTAAAACCATTACCCCCAAATATCTGAAAAGACAAGACAAAAAAATTTATCAAACAAATTATATATCAAATTACCAGTACTGATTGTGCTGGCTGGCCAGAGCACTAAAACTGGAGGAATATAAAATAAATGCATTATTATATAATGCAACAGCAGGATATCATCATCAAATATCTTAGTACTGTGATGTGATTGTCAGGGGGGAATTAATAATACTACATTTCTGAATGATTTGACTTCTAGACCAGGATTCACCACTAAAAATTACCCATAAATAAATTCATATGTATGGCAATTCTGTTTACTTTAATCCGCAATTAAATTTTTTCTATTCTAAATCACTTGTACAATCCCCTTTTGTTACTCAGAGATTAGAAAGCAAGTAATTTATTACATACCGGATAGCCCAAATTTGATTCTCAGAAATGGAATGGTAAAGGGGATTTTTCTTTTTAGGTGGTCCCCTGTCATCACAACATGGCACATTCTCAAGCTGAAGATTGAGAAGACCCTCGGATAAGGAGGATAACTGCAAATATTTTTAGGGGATTTGAGAAGAGGGTACTTAGGACATATGGACCTGAGGATGAAGTGACAAGAGGCTGAAGAAAATTGCATAATGAGGTGCTCCATAACTTGTACTCTTCACCAGAGATTAGTAGTATGCACAAATCAAGGATAAAATGGGTCGAGCATATAACACACATGGGAGATAATAGATGGATACAAAATTTCAGTTGGAAAACTTGAAGACCAACATGTAGAATGGAGAGTAATAATAAAATGGGTCTTAGGGAAATAGTTGGAAGGTGTAGACTGAATTCATATGACCTTTGAATTCCATAAAAGGCTGGGAATGTCTTGACTAGCTGAACATACCATTATTTTGAGAAGAAATCTGCTCCATGGAGTTAGTTGTTATCTTATTATGTACTCTCAAAGTCTGTACTAGGGAGGGTTTCTTTGCATGGAGGTAAAGACATCTAAAGTGCGAGAAAAACCGCACATATTCCCATCTAGCAGCAAAGTTCAAAAGCTGTCAAGCTTAGCCTCCATTCCCTCTATTAAATGACCAATTCTGATTCATTTACAGAGAATATATAGCATCAAATGAGATGGAAAGTTGAAAGATCATGAATGGTAACTGGGAAAGAATTGGCAAGAGGTGGTCATGACCATTTTTCAAGACACAATCATGGTATTCACCTGGAGATCCTGAACAAATCCATTAGATATGTCATTACAGTAACTTTCTGGATAAAAGTATAATGTTTTTTTTTTTACACCAAGATACTTAGTTCAGCTCTCTTATTCCAGAAATTATGTTTTAAAAAGTGACACACAGCAAAGCAACTGTTCGTGTAGAAGCCACATACACCAAGTACTGCACCTCAGTGACAAGTAGCAGTGGATTCGTCACCGTTACATTCATTCTAATCCTTTTCTTTGAGGTCCTAGAGTGACTTGTTTGCACTAAACATGTTTCTTACCTGCACAGCATCAGTTGCACATTTGTTGGCAACATCTGCAGCCTGCGCTTTTGCAACAGAAGCATAGTATGTGTTTCTCCGGCCCTGATCTGTTTCCCACGCAGCTCGCATCCAAGCAAGACGAGATGTCTCTATACCAATTGCCATGTCAGCCAGCATGAATGAAACAGCCTAGTGGGCAAAATTGTGCACAAATATCACACATCCATCAAATATTTGTAACTGAATTTCTAAATGACCTATAAATTACTGACTGGAAGAAGTATGCTTTAAGAGAATGTTAATTTTTCATTAAATTAATAAACATAGCACTTCAGATCTTGGAGAGCTTTGAAATTATTAGTGTTTTACGTCCTCTTTCCACCTGAAGACAAAGTAGAACTAACTTATAAATTGTTGTGGGTTTAACATGTAGACAATGGATAAAGTCCAAGAAATCCATCTTATACAGTCTGGAAATAACCTAGAAGATTTAGATGTCAGAGTTATCATGTATAAAACATGTTTCCGGCAGTTACCAATATTCAAAGCAAATAAAGAACAGCAAACATTTTACATGAGGAAGACCCACATTGGACTTCTGGATGACAGTAAAACTGCTGCCGCATAAGAAGTGTGTCTTGTAATGTTTGTTAGAATAGAACAGTTATAGAGAAGAAAAATACGAAGGCCTTCATTCCTAGAATAAACTTCTCAGGAATATTGAGCTAGAAATGGAGCTGCAGACAGTTCTGCCAAATTTATAAGACAGCCTTACGGGTTAAACTTAATGTTCTCATGATGGCATACGAAGGCGACTGTCTTCTGGGATGTTGCACCTTGTAGTCTGGTAGAAATTTACTGACATTTCAGTGCCTGCTGCCTCCATCATCAGGACAATAAATCATCGGTAAATTTCTACCAGAAGACAGTCTTCTTCATACTCTTACACCTTCAATTTCCTTTCATTCTCTCTTCATGAAGAAAGTTTACTCTTGTAGTGAAAAATGAAATTGAAAGGAATTTCTCATAACAATTTTCAAATAATAAGGAGTGTAAAAAAGTAAAGTTTGTCCCACTATACGCCATGTAGGCGTTTGGGGTGAGTGGAAGTATAGCTCCTCTCTTCCTTGACCTCGGCACTAGATGGGGGTGAGTGGTCAGCATCACGCCGGGATCGAACCCCGGTCGTCCAGCCCGTAGCTAGTCACTATACAGACTGAGCTATCCCAGCTCATAATAAGTAGTGTAGAAAGGGAAAAATATATTAAACCTGATAAAAAAAATATGTTAATACTAAAGTCAATACACACTGAACATTACCTGGTGTTGTGCAATTGGTATGCCAAAAGTCTTCCTTTCCAAAGAATACTTTGTTGCTTCGTCAAGGGCCCTCTGTGCTACTCCTACAGCACCAGCCGCAACCTAAAGACCCCAAGATCCCATCAAAATTAAGGCATTAACACATCAGTAGCATCATCATGGGTTCAATTATGTTACACATCAACTTGACCTTCTGTTCTACATAGGATAACACCAATAGAGACCTCGAGTAGCAAAATGGAGTGGTATCTTCATGTTATGCATATAGAGGAGGTCATGAAAACATGGATGACACTAGAAAAGAAGAATAGATCAGAAGGACAAAAATATTATACTGGAAAAGATATGGAGAAAGAGCTGCTGCTGGAGGCAATGAAGAAGACGATACAAAAGAAATAAAATGGAGATTATTCTGTTTGAATGATAAGACCAAAACCCAGATTCCACCCAGTAACATGAAACCATAAGAAGCCACTTCTGTCTGGATGCTGATTTGAGGCACCTGAATTTAGTTCATATCACCATTATTTCCTGATTACACACTCATGAGTTGGTCTTTCAAGTGCTCACTTTTCTGACATTCTCCCCCACATTTTGTAGTGAAGAATGACCTTTTAGATACAAGTAGTGAATGTTTTTCATTTGTTAAATGTTCTTTTGTCACAAATGAAGTTCATAGTGTAATAACATGTGTCCAAAATTTGCATGAACATAGTCAGAAGTGCCCAACATCATAATCTGCTTTAATTTAGCAGCATTTGTTAGCCTGTGGAAAGCAATAAAAATTATCCAGCACACAAGGCTACACTGGAATCATATGATTCTAGCACTGCAGGTGTTAAACTGATAATTTACCTGTGAAACATCATGTCATAAACATAACATAGGCTTCAGAAATATTGTCCCTGGGAGAAATGATCTGCCAGACATTATGTTTTCATCGGAGAAACGTATGGTGTCTTCAGCCTCTCATAAACTGCTTTAAACTTCCTTCCTGTTGCTCTGTTCCAGATTTATTTTGCACATTCAAGAATTAAAGATGTGAAAATATTCTATATTCATTACAAATTATTTACTTGCATTATTGTAAGTAAGAAATATACAGGTTCATTTGGGCTGGCAAGAAAAACAAAAAAGGATTATTTATTTAAATAACAGCATAAGTATGTAGCATAAACTATGTCTAAAACGTACAAAATTTAAAGCAAAATGGCAATTTGTATGGAGATGAAGACTGAAACTACCATACTTTTCAGCTTAAAACAGGGAGCAACTTAAATGTGCATAATACAGAATATTAGGGCAGAAAGTTCTGGTATGAAAAGCATACCGGAGGTCGAGTCTTGTCAAAAACTGCCATGGCAATCTTGAATCCGTCCCCTTCACCCAGCAGAACATTTTCTTTAGGCACACGAACATCCTCAAATGTGATTCCTCTTGTGTCAGAGCAGCGCTGACCCATGTTGATTTCCTATAATTCCACAAGGTCATTTTCATAAATTCGTGCGGGTTTCTCGACCCCCGCATTTGTTTCATATTGAACTTGTAAATGTGACAATCATGGGAGGATATTAATATCAGTAAGAAAATCAAATGTATCATGAACTCACTAATGCTTCGTCTCTGAAATTTCTGTGTGTGTCAGTTTAGAGTAGCAATAATTATTTTCATACATATCACAGAAATTAATGAATCAACAACTTCTGGGAAAAATCAACCATTAGAATTAATTTAATTTTCACTGCCATTATGGCAAAACTTGCAACACCATAAATAGTTTTCAGTATATATGTATGTGAGATTCTCTTCATGATAGAGTTTAAACACAAGTTTTAAATTCATTAGTGAAGCTGAACATTAATCATATAACCGGTGTACGTTCAGTGAGAATTGTGTATGCTTATATTTGTGTAAATGCATCATAAAATTCACACTGATTATGATGTCTGTTCCACACGGTACACTAACAAATAAAATACTTTGGTAGTCACCTTTCTTCCTGGAGTAAGGCCTGGCGTATCCCGATCAACAATAAATCCAGTGAATGCTTTACCAGCAGGACACTTGGGATCTGGGTTTGTTCGTGCCAGAACAAAGTACCTGAAGCATAAATAAGACCACTCAGCACAAAAATAAAATAGTTAAACAAAAGGGAAAAAGAATTATAACTTCTGAACACAACTTTCTTTGATCCAGCAGTAACAAAAATGGATCCGTCTGATGAATGAGATGCACTTCAAAAGCAGACAAAGAGCTCCAAAATTTTAGAGCTCAATAAACAGAATGCAAGTATGGAGGTTAACAGTAATTAAAAAGGTAACGCTTCTAAAACATTTTCATTCTTATACCGGTATATACATAATAAAAATCTGAACTGCAATAAAATTGATATGTGCTAAACAGACATATTTTCTCAGAAATTGTTTGTTACTTAATGTACATTTGTGATAAAAACAAAAGTAAAAAAGCCTCATTTTGGTCTTACAGTTAAGTAAACATGTTATTACTACATGTCTAAATATGTTAAAATAGTATTAAAGTAGTGCCTTTACCCAGTATTAAAATTCAATGTATGACAATTTTAGGTTGAATGCCCTTCTAAACCTCATTTAAGGCTGTATGAAAGTCTAATATAATTGTTTTTCCTGCTTTATTTTGATCCTACCTTTCTTTCCTTCCCTTGCCTCCTGAATCAGCATTCCTCTCTGAAAAGTCTCAATTCCTATTGGTCCAAAGACAGAGCAATCTCAACTCCTCATTCAACAGCCCCACTTTCCTCTTAACTTTACAAATACCATGTAAATCTAAGCACAACTTTGACCTTGAAGATGAAGGCTGCTCCTCCAAAATGTTGGCATAACAACCCAGAAGACCACCATCTATGTGTGATCAGTCCAATTCAGAATTTGAAACATACGTGGAGTCGGAAAAAGATGTATAAATATACATTCAATGAGTTTGCATTGCTTGAAACTCAAATGACCATCTGCCATTTTGTGTGTCTGAATCATTGGAAAAGAAACTGTGGTGCCATCTGTAAAGTGTAGACCACACTAGGTTGCCATCATAAACACAAACGAGATCGATAACAAGGTTAATATTCTGCATTACAAGGAGTAAACATCTTTTTTGGACACTCTGTATGTACAATTCCTTTTTCTTTTTAAATACGATCCTTTTTCATTTTTAAAAAAACATACTCTCCTTCATATCTGTAATCATTAGCATCACCTCCCACTTTTTTCCGTTCCCAATAACGGCCTTTCACATTTATCAGTACATCTTCAACCATAAATCTTAATGGCAATGACACTTTATGAGTACAGTCTTCCTCACGTTCAAAACTTTAAATGTGAACATTCATTTACATTTCTGACAGTATGAGCCCTGGGAACGGGCTTATACTGAGCTGTCAAGATGTTAAAAAACTGCAACCAAGGTACTGGACCAGGACTTATACTAACCAGCTAGCAACACCTCCATTTGTAATCCACATCTTCTGACCATTTATGATGTATTCATCTCCTTTCTTCTCAGCTCGAGTTTTCACTCCATTTACATCTGATCCTGCTCCAGGTTCTGTGACCCCATAGGCCTGTAACAAAAGCATTTTAACCCTACCACAGAGCCAAGAAATGTTTACTTTTTTTCATCTGATACTGCAGTTAAATCTCTGTTTAAGACTCCTCTGAGTGACAATCAATATGAACAGTAAACTTAGTAAAGCCTTAAACAGAGAAAAATGAACAGAATTGGGTTCAATGAAACATCAAATGGGAAACAGTTACTACGACAGCCAGATAATCTTGATGTATGAAACATGTGGTATATTTCTTCGCTTCTATCAGCAGATAGGGTAGTTACAAGTATACATGGACTGGTTATGGAGGACCGATCTAACCAATTTGGGCCCTTAAGCAATCTCTTTTACCATTAATCTAATCAATCTTGGAACTATAATAGTTACAAATGGACAAACATTTTCTACAACTGCAGGATAAGGGCTCTTTTAACTAACTAAAATGAGAAGAAGATTGTACAAATACAATGTAAAATCATGACATTTATGAACCGAATACTTACTGCAACGAGCGGCTCTTCTACCAGTCTTCCTAAGAACTTCTTCTGCTGTTCCTTATTGCCGGCGACGATTAGTGGAATTTGCTGTCAACACAAAAACAATTGGGGAAATTCTATATTATAGCATCCTGCTCTGCTATCTGCTTTATTATTCATGGTGAAGCTTCGTTGCTTTATACAAAACCTTTTGTTTTCATACACCTGACTTTACACAAATCTTCATAGCATAACAAGATATGGGACAATCGACACACACAATATACAAACAGAAAGACTCCAGAACAAAGAACAAAACTGAAAATATGTTGGTAAATATACAAGAAAAACACGAACTACCAAAATATAACAATAGAGTCTGCTGTTGCAAACACCATCTGAATGTAAGATGAATAATAATAATAATATAAGGCTGTTTTTAGTGCTAGTTCAAACTTCTTGGTACTTTGTAGAGAAAGACAGCCTTGAATATTCCTGTCCACGTTTGTATTTAGTTGATTCATACGTAACTCAAATAATAGAAGAAGAATAAGAAGAAGAAGGGTGGGTGCATGTAAGACATCACAAACATGCATATGGTGCTCTTTCATGCAAGTGAGGGGACTGTAACCTGCAGGCTGCATGTGACCCTTGAAACCTTTTTATGCAGACTGCCACACGATTTTGGAATCAGCCAGTGTCATAAGGGGAACAATTTTATGCTACTAAGAAACACTGATACACAGAGTTCACACACACATTATGTAAGGAAAAACAATCGCATAAGAAATATATTAAGAAAAATTGTGTATGTAGTTCAATAATGTTAAATTCATATTTAAACCAATAAAATAATATAAAAATTACTGTGGTTTTAAACTGAAGTTTTTATCACTACGAATTACTTGAAATCTAAACAATTTAAAAGTTAATAAATAATGCCTTTACAATAAAATCAGTTATATGGAGAAATACAGCGATTGTCCATTTTCAAGTGTATAACAGCTACACTCTTTAAGTTAAATACGTTTTTGCTTACTGTCCATGGCATTATTAATTCTTTTCTCCAGCCCTCAACAAAGATATGAATAGTCAATGCAGCCCACAGTGATGAAATGGTTGCCGACCTCTGCTCTAAGCAATCAGTGCAACACATTAAATTCAAATGTAAATCATCACAATCGGACCTACTCCTAAGCTAGATGCTCCCAATGCAGTTTCAACAGCAGAACAACCATATGCAATTTCCTCTGCAATCAGACACTCATCAAAACATGTAAGATCCAGACCACCTGTAACATCACAATAAATCACTTGCTAATTTTAAAAGAAAATTACATTCACACAAATGTTCCTGATTGACATAGAAGCAAAAATTAGATTCACGTGACATTTATACTATAAAAGGAATTTAGACACACTAAAGAAATTAAATACACAATCAATCATGGAATTCATAGAGAATTACAGAGGTAACTGGAAACACCATGCTCCTTGACTGCCCCATTCAAGTATCCCACTCCAAAACCTCAGCTACCAAGATCTTCGGTGAGACTGCACAGACCATAAGCAGTCACTGGGCTTAAGACATGGAAGACTGGTAATGAAGACCAAAACAAATTGTGTACAATGATTCATTCATTATCAACAAAAGTTTCTGAAAATATGTGCCTAAATTTGTTACCATATTTGCATTTGCAACTTACAAGATTTCCTTTTTCAATATTTTATTTAAAAAACTATATTTCCATATTATAATATAAATATTATACAAATCGGGTTAGGACAAAGATAACTAATATTTAATTAATCATTTTTATTAGGGTGATTCTTTAATAATCTTAGTTTTACAAAATACATCCTTCTAAGCATATCTGTAAAACATTACTTAACTCGCTAATCTCCATAAACTGCAAAAATATTTCTTGAGGTACCCTTTCAGCCTTCTTATATCAGATTCCTGCCCAAGACAATTATGAAATTTGCGCTGAATATTTTGCAGGTGCACCCGCTAATGGAATAAATGTCAGTCACATGATTAGTGTGTTCTAAGAAGTAATTCAAATGGCAGGGGATTAACTACCATAAACTATTCTGAGTACACCTCAAAATTGAAAGTGAGAGTCCATTCCTAAAATTTAAGCATAACTGTAGATATAAAATCAAAATAAATAACAAACAAAAATATTATATTCTGCCAAATTTTGTCAAGTTACTAGTATCCATTTTTTCTATATACCATACAAGGTTGCTATCCAGATAAGCCTACATTTTGTTTCTAAAAATTCCGAACACTATTGATTATTTCATAATTTACTTTCATCATGAATGGAATCTTCAGCTTTATGGAACCCATCTATAAATATAAATAGGCATTTTCAAATAGCACCCTCAGTATTTGGAGACCCATCAAATGGCAAGGTCCTAAACTGTTGCTTATTAAGCTCCTATATAAATCCAGCACTGAGGGCAGAGGACAACCAAAGAGGAATGCTTATGGCAGGACAGTAAAACACTCAGAAAGCTTCACCATAAAATAAATCACGCTGGTGGATTTAATTATTTATTTATTTATTTACTTATCCATTTATAGTTTAATGACACACACAGTAGCTCAGAAGAAAGCATCAAATGATAGAATTATAAAGTAATTTTAAAAAAAGTTGTGTTCTGACAGATGAAAACTGAATGAAAAGCATATCAATATAACTCACCACAGTGCTGAGGGATGTGGTAATTTGTCAGACCTAGTTCCCATGCCTTCTTGATAATATCCCAGGGGAACTTCATGGACCGATCATAATCAGCAGCCTTTGGGACAATCTCTTCTCTAGAGAATTTCCGTGCTAATTCCTGCAGATCCTTCTGAGTATCACTCAGTTCTGAAACAGTAAAATAATATTCTAGGTACTTACACCTTGCTGTCACATATCTACTTCACAATAAAATGACTGACAGTGCAGGACAAAAAAAAACCATGAATGGCACTTCAGTAAGATAACAGAAACAAATATTCCAGACACACTGACAAAATATGGGCCGGATTACTTTTTCCATCAACATAACCTTACAGGTTATCACGATCATACCTCAACACATTAAGAAGTTTCATAAATAGTACTGTAACAAATGTAATTAAATTTTGGTTTCTCTGATGTATGCATTTATTACAATTAATTATTTTCTTGACTGCAGTCACAATCTTGGTTACAGATCCCCAAGTTCCACACTGGTTTTAACTATTCTCTTTTAGCTACTGTCCAACCTTTTCCTTTCTCATAACTTCACTTCTATTCAAGTCCAAGTATCGCTCCTGTCTTCATCACAAACGACGTATTGCATCACTCAACTCACACTGAACTCTGAATCTTCCAGAACTCAACTCAGTATTTAGGCATGTTCTTAATATCACAGTACAACAAAATAATGTACACAGCTCAAACAGTCATCAAGAAGTAAATCTAAGAAGGCAGCCATCTACATATTATCTGCCGATGAAAACCTCAGATCCTAAAAAGTAATTATAATTTTGCACGGTAAGGCACATGTGGTCTTGTAGCAAGACAATGACTCAGTGGAACCAGGTTCAATAACATGTCACACCTTAATGAGCTAACTAGCAAGATGGTAAAAGAAATCCTGCCTTTTATGGAACCAAACAGTTCATTATAATGTTTACAAAAGCCGGCCACTGGGTGCTATACCTAAGCCAGATGAATTCAGTCCAGATCCTCACTTGTTATCTCCAGAAGATCAATTATAATATTACACTCCCTGCTATATTTAAGTCTCCCAAGTGGTTTCTTATCTTCAGGTTTTCCAACTACAATTTTGTACACCTTTCTACTTTCCCTGTGTCCATTATATCCCCCCCCCCATCTAATCTTCCTTGATTTCATAATCTTCATGATAAATGACAAAGAATACAAATTATGAAGATATTCAATATGTAATTTTCTTCAGACTCTTGTTGCTTTCCTCCTCTTAGATTCAAATAATCTCCTCTGCACTGCTCTCAAACATATGTTCCTTCCTGAGGAGAGGGCAAGGGTACAAAACTCCTAACTTAATGTATACAAATAATAAATGTTCTTTTAAAATGCTTGAAGCAAATTCAATGGACGTATTTTCTGTCAGAGGAATTTTTATTTGCCAAATAATACCAACCAAAACAGATTCCACTTGCTTGTTTTCTTTCAGTTGCTGCTGGGTGTGGCACACTGGAAAGTGTACGCAAGCCACGATGAAAGCTCTTCTTTATTATCTAAAACCAAGTGGAAAGGTGAAAACAAGAAACACAAGAAAATTTTTATAAATAAGGGATGACAAAGTTAAAGAACTGGAAGAAGATAAACAAGCCTAAAAAATATATGAAAATAAGATCACATAACAGCAATTTCAGGAGAAAGTGATATAAAAAGGAAATCAAATAAGAAATTAGAGGAAACAGAAGAGAAAAATCTGTAGCAAATTTAAAGCATGTATTATAAAATACAAAGAGTCCACACACATGGCTTTACTAGCCAATCCCATCAGCCAGCCTAGTCCGGATATATCTTGTATTTGGATTGCCCTTATCTCAGAAAAGGTCAAATTATTGCAACATAGTCCAGCTTGATGTTGTATGAAGCTTTTCCATCCTCGACAGTTATATTCTTGGGCCTTTGCCACTTCAATTGTCAGACTATGTATTTTCTACTTGCTCTTCAATTTTTTTTTCATTTCTCTTTCTTTTGCTGTTTCAGTTTGTTGCACTTCAGACAGTATGTTACCTTGGTCATGTGCACCAACTCCTACCCATGTTATGTAATTTTTTGGAAAATGTTTCTTTCTTTATCTCCCACGATATGTGCTGTCCTGCTCAGTTTATATACTATGATTTCCACTTCTGCCATGTCTGGAGATAGGGATTACCTCTATTGATTGAGCCCAACAGAGTAGGTTTTACCAGAAGACGGACACAGAGTCCCATCTCTGAAACGTCGTGGATTTTATTGTTTTCATTTGGTATTGGATGATAGATAATGTCCAGAAAACAGTATGCTTCAATGACAATACAATTTATGACAAGTACAAAACGAAATGTTAATGTGATTGGAAAGTAAATAATTATTCCAAAATTAATTGAGTAATATGACACTAACATCATGGGTCTGTTACTCCAACGATTTTAATAGAAATAATTTCTTGTAGGATTTTAGGTTTTCACAGTGGTGAGTCTGAAGATAGCTGTCTTCTGAGTTGTTGCGCCTTGTAGTCTGGCAGTTCACCGACGTTTCAGAGGTCCTTCCTACCTCCATCATCATCGCCCTAATGATGACGGCAGCAAGGTCCTCTGAAACATGGATAAACTTCTACCAGACTACACGGCGCAACAACCCAGAAGACAGCCAGCTTTAAACAATTTCGTGTGTAACTTTCTTTCGTAACATTGCTGCCAAATGAAATTATAAAAAATGTTACATTTCATCATTATTTAACAGAACAGGCTCAGATTTACTTCTATCAATAAAAATATAGCCAAATGAATTACAATTACTACGTACATGAAATGACGTTTATTGAGAAATGTAAATAATGCCTAATATATGTAAAAAAGGTTATTTTCAAGTAAAAGTCCACAAATACCTGTCCAAACATGGCCATGCTTTGCATCTTTCTTTGCTGAACAAATAATTCTAGGATATACGCATATGTATCACGTCAAAAAAATGTATGGAATTCGCCAACTGAATTTCTTGTTCACATTTCCTTTTAGGCAAAATATGAGTGCGCCATCTGTTGTGGAGTTCGATAAAATACAAAAACTCGTTTTATTTTTGAACCTTTATTGGAAAACATTATGAATATATTCAAATGAATATAAACCACTGCTTTATACAAATACGTGAGCCACTAATATGGCAACATTACATTCTTACAAAACGTTTAACAGCTCTTCTCGGCGCATACATTAATACCAACTTCAAAATCAATCAATTGCTAGACGTTGGCAGCATAGGTGGCATAGTTAATGCTGTCAAGTATCGGCGGGAATAGCCTGCCATTTATTCACAGGAAACGATTTGGTGGTAGTTATAGCAACAGCCACTGCTGAGCGCTATAGCGATGTAGATATTTATTTCCCCCTATCCTCCAATTGTCATCACTGGAACGACTAATTTTACAAACCTGAATGTCTTCTGGCACACAGCATGCCATGCACTTTGGTAACATCTGACTGACGTTTCAGCGTGATGGCGGCAGTAAGCACTTCTGAAACGTCGTACAATTTCTACCAGACACCACAGTTCACTCACCATGGCGAGAACCTTAAATCACACCTTTGCAAACACCACCCTTGGTAGCGCAAAATAACTGCTTTTAAAAATGTTTATGTGTTCTGTTTATGGAACTGCATATACAACATATTGGTAAAATGAATTTACACTCACTGGTGAATAATATATTCATTAAGCACCCACTACAATAAAATGTGCTAAATACTGCAAAACCAGGAAATAGGGACCTCACTGGCATTAAGGCTGCTATAAAAATGTTAGTACAGAAACACTTAAAATCTGAACAAAAGTTACACTTGGAGCATTTTACAAGGAATACCACAGACCACTTTTCTACCTTACCAGTAGGTGTAATGGATGAAGCTACACAAATCAATAATGCGCAAAATACGAACTTTGGAAAAGCTAAGTAGGAGAAAGAAAGCACAGAACAAAATTAATATATCCCAAGAATGTTGCGATTTCAAGAAAGGTATAAGATTAACTTTAAATCAACTTTCCAGAAATTGTGTATTTGTTTACATTTAGGTACACTTTTCTCCGAACTATGGAAACTATAATATCGACATTTTGTATAAGCACTACCTACGTGTAAAATACTTCATAAATAATAATGTATTAATGAATAAAAATGCTAAAGACATCAAATTTAACACCTAAAATTCCTGCATCTTAAGTAGTCTACTTACAAACCACATACAATAAGAGAAATATTAGCTTTATTCATTTTAATACACAAGTTAGTCTGTTTTATCAAGCCCAGTATCTCCAACAGTTGCATCAAAATCATCACTCCTGTCTTCAATCTTTTATCAGAAAAGTGTACCTTCAGGCATAATTACAAATTAAAATAATATTTTTTAAAATTTAATTTTAACAGTGCAAAAATAAATTCAAAATTTTATTTCATGGTTGTTATACATACAGAAAAGTATAATTTAGTTGTAAAAAGTTAGGAAATTTATCACTACCCATCAATGGCAAAAATGTTTTTAAATATTAGTCTTGAGAATAATTTCTGTACTGATAAAACTATCCTAGTGCTCTGAAGGAAAATGCTATCATACTAACAAGTGAATTTATTTCATTGTTGGCATTCTGTACAACACACAAATGTCATACATTAAATACGTCTTGAACTTCACACCTCTATTTTATATCGACATCGTTTTGTGCTTCTTGCTGAAATAACTGGGTTAAGAAAAGCTTACCATGGCATTAAACCAATGACAGAGTGGGCAAAGAAATAGGAGTATTTTAGTGTATTCTGGTTTATGACCAACTTGTGTCTCTTAAGATTAATTATAACAATACTAGGCAACAAGCACAGAAAAGAACTCCTAGAACATTTTTTGGAACATGAACAATATGTCCCACATTTATTTGTCTAGACATTGTTTTACACTCAGTTACTTTGTCCACAGACATTTTGTCAATTTTTTTTTTTAATATTCATGTGTTCATTGTGCTTATTTCGAAGATTATATATTCTTGGCATAGAATAGTGACAATATCTTATGATGATGAAAAGGAAAGAATAAACTACTGCTGACTACTGCAGTTTTCTAACAGCTATTTGTTGTCACAAAAATGGTGATTATTTAAATTACCAAGTAGACCCTGAACAGTAAAAAATTAATCAGTTCTAACCCTTTTTAGAGTGCCTGCACGTATGTTCCAGCAATTGAAGAATTTGACACAAGCAATATACCTGGAACTTAGTACACAGTGCATCATGATGGATTCTGAAATGAGTGTATTGAATGCAGTATGGATACTTTCTAACCCATTCTGCAAGACTGCTTATTATAATGAAGTAAATTTAAGCCTGAAGCCATTATACAATGATGACAGTTTTTATACTGAAATCCATATGCTCCTTGCTTTATCATTATAACCAATACAGGAGTTACAGCAAACCTTCTAGAAAGTATATACCCTGATGTTGAAGATCTTGTTACACAGAATCCACTTACTTAAGATGTCCATGAGGAGGAGAGCAGTATCAGCACGGTTTGGACACATGTGGAATGTATATGAACTGGAGCTTAATACATAGCAGAGAACAACTAACGAGGTTCAAGAATGGCATTCCAAAATTCAGAAAATGGATGTAACTGATCATGCATCTGTTTAGGAATTTCTGGAACATACAAAAAGATCAAAGAGAGAATATGAAGTTCTGATAATTCAGCCTGAAACTGGTCACATGAAAGTGAGATATCCCACAAGAAATTTTATGAGATAAACCAAAGATAAACTGAAGGGATTACTGACAACTATAACAATTACCATAAAACAACAGAACTGATATGTAGCAATGGGGAATCAGCTACAAAATCAATCTCTACTCTGAAAGTTACATAAAAGGAATTCTTAATTCTTTTACCATCAAAATATGTAATTATATTAAATCACTGGACAATTTCTCCATCAGGTATTAATAAATTATAGTTGTGTACTGGACAATAAGAATACACATGTACAGTAATAGATGTCTTTCCTCTTATGTTTTATATTACAGGATGAGAGGCCACACTGTGACCCAATAGACATAACACTGCAATCTTGTGAAGAGAAAAAAGTTCAGTTGCAATTGTAATCAGTGGGACTTGTTGTGGACTTAAAACTGAACAAATATACTATGGGACAAATCACTTGTCAGATGAAAGAGCTATGGACACAAAATAAACAAGACCTAAACAGAATTGACAAAACATTACGTAGACAAAATGTCCATGGACACATCTGGGATTGTTAAATCATCTCTCTTTGATCCATATACTTTCCTTCCCAGTTTTTCAGACTCTTTAATCTGTATTCTTCCCTCAGAGAATGAGAATAAGTTTCATTCAAAATGGGCAAAATAACTGAGACACTTATTCCAAAACTGATTTCACCCACTCAAGTAGTTGTGAAAGGAAAGTTACAATAACTGAATAACAGACAACTGCTACAAATGAGCATAAACTTCTGTAAAAGAGAGCATTTTTGTTATTAAGTGCTGAAACAGATTGGCTGAAGAAAAGAGAAAAGTTTTACACTGACTTTTGTGGGTGCCCTCATAAACAGCATTAGATTAAGCATTTTATATATAAAGTGTTTTGGAGCTGAATGTCTCAGCTATTCTGTACATTTTAATCTGTAGGTAAACTGTACTATGACTTACATCGTTCCTTCAGCTTTTCCGTTAAACTTTGGATTGTGCAATTCCATTACCAGTTTATTCATGACCTTGAGTTGGCACACAAATTTAATCGGTTTATACGTCTAACAAATTTTGATGCTTCAATAGCTATCATCCAAATCTGTATTATGTATTACTACACATGAAATACTGTTTATGGTCTAGACGCCTGTGTTATAATACTAACACGAATAAAAAAAAGTATAAATTTCTATAAAACATTACTTGTTGCATGGTCCTGTTCTAAGCAACACTAATTCAATGGGCTTTCTAGCTGCAAAATAACTAAAACAAAGTCAGCAGTCAACATCAGTGTGCCAAAGAAACACAAAATAAACCTGCTACTGAAATAGACTGTGACATTCTTATGATAATGTATTATAACATTATTATTATTATTATTTAGTGTTCTGTCTGACGACAGGTCCATATGAACAGGATCCTTCCATCCTTTTCTCGGACTGGGACCTGTTCATATACGTTCTTGGCAGATGATCCAGAAGTGGGTTGCCATTGCCTTCTTCTGTGTGTGAAGGGAGTAATTGTTGGGATGCCACGGAAGAAAACTCCGCGTTGCCTAGACCACGGCCTTGCCCAAAACAAGTTATAAATTCGGGCACCGCCGGGAATCGAACAAGAGACCCCAGGATTACAAGGCCAGCGTTCTAACCGCTAGACCACCGTGGCGGTATCTGCGGGGTAGCCTTGAATAAACATTCGCTGAAAGCCGACAAGGGGTGTTATTCATCGTCACAAGTTTGTTCTCACACACAACAGATCATCAAGAGAAGTAGCCAACACTGGCCATAATAAAAAGGAGCAATAAGTTGATAATGGCATGAGAATAATGCACTCTCGACAACAATATAAAATAATCCATATCAAGAATATTAGGTGGTTTTCTACGGTGTGGCCAATCAACCAAGAGAAACAGATTCAGGATAAAAATTCCACCAACCATGTAATGTAAGTTTTTAATGTGATGAATACTTTAATGCATTTATATACTGACTACAGTAACTTTTACATATTTATTGAAAAACATATTTACATATTTCATGTGTGGTCTACATGTTATTTCGCAAGATTTAATCCCTGTACTACAGGGCTGCCGGCCAGGTTTTAACTACAGAATTAATGGTTTTTGCATGGCCAGCTGAACCATGTATAAACTGACACACAGCCAATCAAGTTTAGTGTGGATATAACGAACCAGAACAAGAATTATAATTCAAAACATGTAGCTCTAGTAAAGAATAATACCGTCCAACCTTATGGCAAAAACCAAGTTGAATATAGTACACTGCTTTTGTTGTGTATGTGACAGAATTTATTTCATGAAGTGTTCTTACCAATTTGGAACCTTGTAAAAGAAAACTGTGACTATGATAAAGTGGACAATATGCTGTGAACAAAAAATTTTCATTCAATGAAGTTAAAAGAATGTGAGAATATCTCACTTGTTAGGGCCTGGCAGATAACAAGGGTTAAGCACAACTGACAGTGTTACTGCAGTCAAAATTTGGGTCCAACTGTGAGTAAGTAAAGTAAAGTTTGTCCCACTATACACCATGTAGGCGTTTGGGGTGAGTGGCCAGCATCACGCCCCGGCCGGCTTTACCCCC